TGACCACTTTTGATGTTGAAAAATTAGTAAGATATATGGACATACATTGTATTTTATTATATTTATTGAAAAATTAAAAAGTAGTGTACACATACTTTTGCCACAGGGAAAAAAAAGAGAAAAGAAAATGAAATCAGAGAGAAAGTAGTTAATTTCAAACTGCAAGAGAAGGTTCTGGAGACTTATAAAAAAAATTCCTTGACAAATTATATCAAATTTTAAACAGAAAACTCAAGTAAATTGCAACTGAAAAAAATTGCATGAATCTTCCTAGTGTTTACGTTGGATTTAGCTTCTGAGGAAAACAACTTTTTGTTGTTTTTTTTAAGTTGAATTAAAACAATAAAACAAATATAAGAAGAATCCAATGGGTGGCTGGGCGTGATTGGGAATTAAGTACCACACACTTCTAATCAAGCTAAAAACCTTTTTGTTTTATTTTTAAAAAAAAACCAAAACAAACTCAGTCACCGCCATCCAGGATACACGCTTTAGGTGATCATATCTTTTTCGATTTATGCAGAGATTTTCCGCAGTAGGTTACTGTTTCTTTCTGCGGTAGACTGGTTGCCAGCCAAGGCTATAGGAGCCAGTCTATCCTGATATTCAACCCATAGCTGGGTGGAGAAGAAATAGAGTCTAACTTTCCCAAGGGCATCTCTTCGTAAATGAATGTAATTAACCCGGCTGGAATTCGAACTCAGTTCTTTCTTGAGCCGATACACCACAACGCATATCCAGTTATTCCGTAACGGTAAATAGAAAATATTCACGCAAGTAAACAAGAGTTGATTAGGGTTGATGCCCACATTTTAACTAACAAGAATTATGTGGAGGTGTGTTTTTTAGGCAGTCTGAAAATTAAAAAGAAAAAAACTACTTATATAAAGTTTATCAACTGCTTTTGAAGTAAAATGTCTGGCCGCAATGCCATCAGTTCTTTGCTCTGACACTGAGTTATGTTCACAAAGATAGAAAGAAAAATGCTTTTTAGTAGTACTACACACTAGCTAGCAGAGTCATTACTTAAAAGCCGCTTGTAGTTATTTTTTCTTTCTTTCCACAGCATGGAAGGATTTAGGTTGAAATCACGTGTCTACAAAGCAGTTGGTTATGATGATAAGGCTGTTAAAAATAAATAAATCACCAGTTCACTATTTAAGCAACAAGACTAATCCAATGAAAGGATGATTTAGAAATAAAAAAATATATAAACACTTTTATACTAAAGTAAAAACTGATCATACGAAAACACTCAATTTTTCTTACCCCACCCCTCACAAAAAAAAAAAAAAAAACCCAAAACGTAGACGTCTGTAGTATAGTGTACTTATTTGAACTACTAATTATTTATTTTAAAGTACCACAATATTTAAGTTTTAAGAACAAGGGGTGAGGGAATGTATCGTAAATAAAGGAAAAGTAGGCAAATAGATAAAAGTTTAAAACATTTAAATTAAACTTAAAAAGTGTGAAGAAGTAACAAAGATTAATTTAAAAATATGTCTTTTTAGTTAAAAATTTACTGCCATTGAGTAAAAAATGAATTTGTTTTTGTAAAAATGTAAAAAATCTTCTATTCATTTTCTTCCTCCCAAATATTGTAGAGTAGAGAAGTGTTCAATTTTTTTTTCTTTCTTTCTCTAATACGTGATTTAATTATAATTGAATTGTCTGAAAACAATGGATTGAAATTTGGGGAAAAGAAGAAATTGGTCGAGATAAAAGGAAGGAATGTGGAATCACAATTCTACGTGTTGTTGCTTCTTCTTCTTACACTAACTCCACGTGTCTCGAAAAATAGAATGAGAAGATCGCAATTTTCAAGAAAATACTTATATATTTTTAAAATAAATAATCTTATCAAATACACCTTCGATTTCAATTTACAATATTTAATTCTTTTAGGTGTTTTTTTTTTTTCTTATTTACCAAACAAAATGTTTGTTTGTTTTGCCGCGGATTTTTACATGTGATTTTTGTAATTAAAAATAATTCTAGTCTACGAAAGTACACTTAAAAAAAATAAAAAATAAACCAAATATTTTCTCTCTAAAATAAACTATAATAGTTAATTGAAGTCAAAGAAAAATAGATTGTTTTTATTTTAAATAAGAAAGCAGTTCCAGTTAATTTTTTAGTACAGGAAAAACAAAACAGTTTAAAAATTTAATTTAGTACTTAATTACCAGAACTAAATTTAAAAGAATATTTTGTGACTAGGTTAAATTAAATAAATTTCAAACTAAATTTCAAACTAAATATCAATCTTTGGAAGGATTTTTATTTACTACTTCATAGCCTTTGTTTAGATTTTAAAGTAAGTTCTTTAAAATTTAAAAATAAATATTTTCTTCCTCCGTCGAAGACAAAAAAAAGGAAAGGATTTGATTTGAAAGAAAGGATTTTTATTTTTTATGTTATTATTGTTCTTCCTTCATAGATCCACATTCATAAGAGATATTTACTTAGAAGCAGAAAAAAAAAACAACATTCCAGGAATTTCTCTTTACTAGAACGAAAGACAGGGAGTGAAATCAATGCAACTATACACAGTGAAAAAGAAAATGTATTATTAATTCAATGTGTTTTTCTTTCATGCTGTTTTTTTTTAAACAAGCCCTATTGCAGAATAATGCTTAAATTATAATTGTTTTAAGTCCTAAAAATACATCTTTGAAAATAGTACTGACAATAAGCAGGAAAACATTTTTGGTTTTTAGAAACTTGGTAAAAAGAAGTTATTCTGTGAAAATAAGTCGCATTTGCAATGTGAAGTGAAGCAATAAATAGGACAAACATTTTTATTTCTAGAATAACAACGCCTTGAGGTGAATTGCTTGTATTCATTAATTTTATTTGTTAATTAGTAAAATAAGCGATTAATAACACTAATGAAATTATTTGGAGTTAAAATGTTTCTGCTTCTTTTGAGAAGAAAAATTAATTGCCGCAAAAACAAAGTTAAAAAAACTATTTTTAACTTGCGGTTTTATTGTGACAGGATTCTTATTGTTTGAAAAAGGGGAAAAAGTTATTAATGACAATGAGAATCTGAAAGTAAAGTCTTTTACGCTTAAAACCGAAGAAGTCTTTAAATTTAAAAATCTAAAACATTTAAAAATTTAAAACTAAATAAAGATTTTAAAAAAAATCAAAGCTGTATTTGATTAACATGAAAATAACTGGAAAAACAAGATGAGAATGTCTCCCTCAACAAAACGACTGCATGACAAATATGAGGAGATGTCATCATAACTTTGCGTAAAGCAGGAATAAAAAATAAATTGTCAACTATGATTGGTTTGGTAATTACCTTTATATTTATTTAATTTGAGTATGAAATTCTGTCTTTAAAGAAAAATAAATCTTTTTCCAAATAGCTCGAAACCATATCCCTCAGGTTTTTTTTTTTTTTAAGGATTCTTTGACAAAGTAAATTTCAAAAAGCAAAATAAATGAATTTACTACGGAGTCAGACTAGAGACTAATTAAAAAAACAGTTGCTAATGAAGTTTTGGACATTTAAGGAGATTTTTGTCATTTGATTCGCGGTGAAAGGCTTCAAGAAAATGAAAACAAACTGGTCCATGAAAAAAAAAAAAGTGAAAAGTAAATATTTTAAAATTAAAAATCATTTTTAATTTAATCTCCCAAAATAAAAGAAAAAAAATTAAGCCATGCGAATAGACATTTTTTAAATTCTTTTCTTTTATTTAGAGTGAAATTTTGATACAAGACTTTGACTCATCAAAAATAAATTATTCTCATAGACAAGATTGCAAAAGGGAAAAAAAAAAAACCCACTTTAAAAAGGTTTTTTTGCAAATTATGACGTAGCTGTAGTAACCTCATTTTTTTTTTTTTTTTTTGGTGCGTATTTAATTTTATGCTGTCAAAACTTTTTAAATGAGCTTTTTGGAAAATATGAGCTTCTTATCCGCCACCATTTCTCAACCTTTTATTGTTAGGCTTCCAAAGTTTTTTTTTTTCCATAAAGGGATTAACTTATTTTACAGTTCACTAATGAATTTAATTTCGTTTTTTTTAATAAAAAATTGAATCATGTGAAAAGCCTTTTTTTGTTACATTCAATTTAACAAAACTTGTCCAAAATTTTTTAGCTGCACACTAAATTCAAATTTTGAATCAAGAACAAGTAAAAAAAAAAAAAAAAAAAAAAAAAAAAAAAAAAAAAAAAATAAATTTTACAAATTTTATTTTAGATTTTTGAATGTGTACTCAGCTGTACAGTTTATTTTATTCTTTAATTAATATCATGTTCTGAATTAAAACTTTTTTACACTAATTTTAAGCAGAAGATGAGGGAGCTCTCATGTCAGAATTTTAAGTGAAATTTTATGATTTTTAAAAAAAAAAAAAAAAAAAAAAAAAAAAAAAAAGATATTTACGAAATAACATTGTATTAAAAAAAAAGCATTAAAAAATTAAGATTTTTTTTTTGTATTTCTTAAAAAAAAACAAAACAAAAATCATAAAAAAAATCATGGCAACAACAATGCATCTCTACAAAAGATCTCTTAAAAATAAAAACACCAATGTATTGTATATTGTATATTATTGTTGTATATTGTAAATAATGTTAAAAAAACCATGTCATTTATTGTATTTGCCGCACATGAGTTTGCCATTCATACATTATTATTTCTTTTGGGTCTATACAGTACACACACACACACACACATATCGTATTTAGTTTGGAATAAAAAGTAAAACTAAAAGCAAGGACGTTGGAAGAAAAAAAAAGACTAATCAAAGATGACTAAGAAATACTTTTTTAGATTAACACAGAAAAAAATACTAATACACTCAAATTAAAAAAAAAAAAGGGATCACTATAGCTGTCAGGTAGATATTTTCTAATGGGGATCATTCGACTCTTTCATCAATAATGGACAATTAAAAAAGTGATAAAAATGATAAAAAAAACTGTAGTAAAACATTTTTAAAACAATTATTTTATTTTTAGACTTACTTACCTATTAGGGTAGTAAAGGCAAGGAAGGCAAGAAGTGCTTGGACGAAGAGGCCCAGGGGTCCGAGTAAGTCTCCCGGGGAACATCGGGCCTCCATGTGTGATGACGGCAGGTCGGTCGATAAAAGGATTTTTGTGGATGGTTGAGCACTGTGGTTAGAGTTGAGGACGTCCACCCGCAATGAGGGTGGCGATGATAGAGATAGAAAGGTAGAAGAGGAGGAAACCCCATTGACACTGGAGCGCAAAAATGGAGGTTCTGGGGAAGATACGGAAATTGATGTTCGCGTGGGAGAAGAGAATAAAAATGTTGGGGTCGGGGTTGCCAAAAGATGCGGAACACTTTCTGTAGGAGCTGTTAACAACTGAACGACCATTAATATGTTGTGATTCTGTCTTCTAAATTATCGTCGTCAACAGTCTTTTCGATATTTAATGTTTTCTTTTAAGATCAAAAAAACAAAAAGAAATTGCGGAACTGAATCAAACTAAAATAGAAAAGAAAGTAGTACGTGTTTTTTTTTTTTAAGGGTTCAAATAATTTTTTTGGCTAAATGTCCGTTCAGTGATGTGTTGCTATTTTTTTTTTTTTTAATTAAAAACAGTCTTTGGAGATTTATAAAACAATTTACGTATACGTGAAGATTTTTTTTTCTTGCTAAACAGAAAAAAAAATATCAATCATTGGTTTGGTCTGGTAAGTGATTGGACCCACATCTTTTTTCCGTTGTGTTGCAGTTCTCTTTTCTTCGTCAGAAAGAAAAATAAAATAAAAAGAAATAGTTACATAACTGAAAATATAATAAACAGGAAGAAAGTTGTGCATATAAAAAAAAATAAAAAGGGGGGCGGGGACAAAAAAAAAATTGTTTGCCAAAAAAAAAAAAAAAAATCTCAATTAAAATCCCCCTATTGTACAAAGTGAGTGTGGATGCGTTGATGCACTTCCACCCACTAACAAGACAAACAACAGTGACTGGCTATTTGCATACACAGTTACTTGCCCTTAGTTTGGACAACGACCAATAGGGGGAACTACCGGCAGCGTTGCTATTTTATTTATTTAGAGAATCTTGAGGAATACTCAAGAGAAAAAGAAATAAAAATTCCAAAATTGTCATTTTACAGATTCGTTAAATGTGTGTGAATGAACTGCTACGCGAGCAAAGGCTTAAAATATTTTCGGAATCTGCAGAGTAATGTATTTTATAAACTGAACTTGGAAGAAAGTTTGTCTTTTTTTAAGAAGTCACTCAATTTTTTTTATTTTTTCAAAAATATTTTACGAACGCAAAATTATTAAAACTAGCTTTTCTTGCTATCATTTTTTCATTATCTCTCTTTCTTCGTCTGCCCCAATATATCCCAATTAATATGCATCGGTTTATTTATTTATTTATTTTTCATCTTTAATCTTCTTATGGTAGTAGTAAGTAGTAAACCAGGGCACCTCGAGGTGGTGTAGTTTAGCAAGTGAGTAGTGAGTTTGAGCCTCATTGGGTGCCCTATACTTTCAGCCTTATGCCACATCTAAGCTACGCTTGGAAAATCACTAGTAGTAAGTAAACTAAAAATAAAAATTATACTTTCTTTCAAAATCTAACCAGTAGTCTGATAGTTAATGACAAAATTTCAAACATGCTCTATCAAGATAAGTATGACCAGCTTTCTTGGGATATTATTGCAATACTATTACACTTTAACTCACATCACAAGCATATTATTAGTACATTTTTTATATCTTCCAAATTTTAGGAATTTATACTCTGTGGGTTATGTTAATTTTCTTTTATGTGCTGTGTCCCTTCAGATTGTGGGCGATAATGGCTCTTCACAACTTCCTATCCTTATCAATATTTGTCTTTTTACTATCCCTCCTACTCTCTTTTTTGCCATCCACTTTTTCAAGATCATTTCCTTCTGTCTCCTTACCTTCAGTTGTAAATGCTGCTTTGGTTATCAAATGTAATTGCGTGTTCTAAGAGAATTTATCTATTATACATTTAACAATTCAAGAAAAAACAATGAGACTCCAATTGTTCATCAAGAATAAAATATATATTGAAATATAACATACAAAACAATCATGCAATGAAGTGTAATGATTAAGGAAAAAACATTGTTCCCCTTCAACTGTATTCTGATTTATGATTGAATGTTCGAAAGAGTTTCTCTTGAATAAGAATGTTCAGGATTCTATGTTGAATAGAGTCTGGTGTTAGAATAGAATACAGTTAATTGTGTTGTTTTGAGAAATTAAGAGAGAGCTGGTTCATGAACTTGGCTTAGTCACAGAGAGGAAGAATATGTATAATGTGATACAAAAATCTGTGTCTGTGTGTGCGTTGTGAGTAAAGTCATGGATTTGTGTAGACAGGCGTAAATAGCTGGACTCTACTGGCGACTTGTGAGAAAGACGGTAAGAGTTGTTGGCAAAGTTCTTTAACAACTGACCACACAGTTAAGACGGGAGCTCTTGAAGATTACATCTCGGCAGCAAGGAAAAAGATGAAGATGAATGAAGAGAACACGAGAGAGGCTTATTCGTGTTTTGTTTATATAAGGTTGTGTCTCATGTGACAGGCTCCAGCCTTGTTCACGGGAAATTATTCCTCATGTGCAGGTGATTTGATTGGTCAGAATTGACCAATCAGCAAGCTAGTTTTTAGGAGATTACCCAATGAATGCTTGCCATATGATCTGTATGTATGTATGTGTGTGTGATGGCAATGATGATTGCTACACAGTAAGTCCTGTGAATGTCAAATTTTCTAAGCCTTCTTTCTTTACTGTGTCCCAGAAATTTAAACTGGCTCTATCTGATTTTAAATATGTGCCCCTTTTGTTTACATTTTCCTTGAAGTTTCTGTAGTGATAGAAAAATAAATGAATAAAAATAAATAATGACAAGGAGACCAAAATTTCACAGTCTCTAAAAATAGATGTATATTCAGAATCATCAGGCCACAAAGCCATATTTTAACCAACCAATCAGAAAGTTTTCATAATCAGGATATAATGCTGCAAGCCAATCAGAAATGGATCACTGGATATGTATATAACAAGATTGAAATTCAACCTAACTCAGAATCTATGAATTAATTTTGTCCATTCTACAATGATGCAGTCATTGTAATAAATCCAGAGACAAAATACAATATTTGCATGATTTGCTGGTGACTTTACACCAACATGCTATATTTAAAAACATACATTCTGTTTTTCATCAACTTTTAAGCAGACCATTGCTACATTTAAAAATATACATACTTTCCTTCACCCATACTGTTAAGCAGGTGGCTACTACATTTGGATACATACACATATATATTTACTTTATCCTGGACACACACACACTCTCTCACTCTCGCTCTCTCTCATGCACCAGAACTTGAACTCTTGAAACTTCAACTTTCATCTTGTCCTTTTGTATTATTATATAAAGATTTATTTTGTATTTATCAACACACTATGCATTTTCTTTTTATCATTACACAAGACCAATATACACCCAAACGAAATATAGCAATATATGATGGGAACCAGGGTCAGTGCAAGTTTCTTGTGTCCCCTTAATTCATGATACAGGGACGGCAACTCTACTACATCTCACTTTTTATAAGGTAGTATTCATATAAGATACAGATTTTATTGTAACCTGATTATATACAATAATGGATCATATGTAATATAGGTGAACAATTCAAGTAGAAAAATTCAAAATAAATATAGTGTATCTAAATACAAATTAGAGACATGTCATAATAGATCATTCCATCTTAAATAAACAATGTTTTGTGGCAATTTTTAACATCAACTTGACATTTTTCTTGTTAAAAGGTTGAATAACTTTAACACATTCAACATTATGGATAAAAAATAGTGAACTTTTTTATATACTGTTTTTTTTTTTGAGACTTACCATGAGCAAAACAAATTGACACATTTGGACAAAAGAAATTTTTTTCATCCTTTAATAGTCAATTGTGCTTAGTTTAATTAGTAATGTACAGTGTAACCCGGATATAAGAGAGTTGTTGGGACCGGAGAAGAAGTCTCTTATATCCGGGTTTCTCTTATATCCGGGTTTGGTCTATTTTATATACATTAACACAGGCTCTAATTTGGGACCAGAGAAAATCTCTCTTATATCCGGGTTTCTCTTATATCCGGGTCTCATATATCCGGGTTACACTGTATATAGATGTAGGTAGAAAAAGGCAAATGTTGATAAGAGAGTGAGGGTCACAAAATATTGCAGGTTGGGGGTTTCAAGAGTAGTATGCACTGGCCCTATCATTTGTAACAAATAAATTGATTACAAATTGTAGCTCCTCTGCTACAAGCTTAAAATATTGTGAGTTAGCTAGTTTTATTTATCTGACTTCACAAGTGTGTCTCATATGTGTGTGATGATCAATTCCTTGATTTGGTTAGTGATATAATTATTGCATGAAGACTTCTGTTAGAGAATATTAATGTCAGCCATCATTGCAAGCAAATGAATAAAAGTAAGGAGAGAATTCATTAATACAGAAAAAATAAACTGAAACAACATTTATTGAGAAAAAGAATAAATCATCAAAAATAAAAAAGGGTCATTTAATGCCAAAATTTAATTTTCTTGGGAGCATGAGTAATGTCTTTTTCAAAAAAATGTATTGCTGGTAATCTTTTTACTTTTTCAAAATGTATGACTCGTATTTATACTATAAACATCTTTTATACTTTCATAGTGTTTGACCATATTTTGTGGATTAACTATTTGCTCATAGATGGGACCTTACCAGGTACTACCACCCCAGATCAGAGTGGGCCTGGGAACAATAGCAATTAAGAGGTGGTTCTTTGCTCCTCAAAACTTACCAATCATAGGCCTTGCTGCTGGATGTAGTTTATCGTCATACCCAGGACATCAAGAATCTGAAAAAGAAATGATAGATAAAGTAAGAATCTGATATATTGTAAAACCCTTAGAGAATAATCACTCTTTTTAAAGAGTATCCTATAATCAAGGCAGGATTATCCTTTAGGCTAGTATAGGCTGTAGCCTAAGAACCTTCAAGCTTTTATAAATAACTAGCAACCATACCAAGCTGGTCGATCAGAAAAAGCATTCAATTAGAATGGAGCAAAAACAGAAGCATGTTTAGATGTAACAGAATCTATCTTCTTAATTACTTTAAAGTACTTTCATTAAAAAAACATTTTGAATTAATGCAGTTACGGATATAACAGAAGTAGTCTGTATTTATTCAATCAAAGTTAGCTGAGGACATGAAGGGGTAGAACAGGTAACATGAAGACCCACTTCAAATGACAAATATTTTGGAGTTTTTGAAATTCAATTTGTGAGTGTGCTACCAAGGATGTAAAA